CAAAGAGCGTCTTCAGTACGCAGTATTGCGGAGTTTAGGCGCTACGGAGCCGGAAGTTCTTCTTAGCAAAATTTGCTCGAGATGACTGGGAAGAAATTCATCCTGTCGGAGCAGTATGTAATTCCAAAGCGATGAAAAACGGCCGGCCGACATTCACTCATCGTGTGCAAAACACTAGAACAGTGAAGACTGCAGTCTTCAGCTATGGTGTACAGCTTCTTCCAAGACTGGAGGTAAAAGATCTGAGTACGAATTTCTGTGGATTATGATCTCTAGCTCTAAATGACGGAGAAATAAAAGAAGCCAACGACATAGAGTCCTCGACAAACCCGCACGAAACCGGCATGGGGGTTCAGTTGTGTGCAGAAAAATTTAAAAGTTCCTACATGCAACTGTTAAGGCCTTTCAGGATAGAAAATGGGTTTGGTCTATTCTGAGCGACGCGAGCAAGCAGCAGTGATTGCCAATACTAGAACTTTGCTCCACAACTGCGAGATGAAAAAGGTTCTTGACTTCATGTTCCGCGCTTTACAAAGAGATGTTCGCCAATAAAAACGCGGGAAGATGACTGTGGTTGGCGGCTGATGGGCAGCTGAGGGCCTCTCTTGAACCGGAGAACCACTTGAGAAGAAGTCGTGCTACGGTGTGGTGATACAGTGTAAGACTGGCCTACTATAGAGACCTGATTGTGGGTGGGACAGTTACAGCTGAAGCCTGCGCACACAGCCCGCCCGCGTGGACCGAGCTCTGAGTCGTCAACGGGTGAATTCGACCAATGTAAAACTATTGCACCACGGCGGTAGACCACATGTCGTGAAAATCGTGCAACAAGAAATCGAGGAAATGGGCTGGGACGTTCTACCTCCAGCGCCGTATAGCCCAGGCCTGGCACCGTCCAAATATCACTGACCCAGGTCAACGCAACACTCTTTAGTAGCAAACCAATTCGATAACCGCGACAACGTCAAAATTTGAGTGCCCAAATTCTTCGAGATGAACCAGAAAGAGTTCTACGCGATAGGCATCCATGATTTGCGCAACGAAATGCGATGAGCCTGTGACGCAGGTGAAGGAGATGGTCCAGGGTGATGTACTCCATTATTGTTTTTATAATGAAAATAATTCACGAAAACGACATTCAATCTTGCCAACCTAATATTTGCTCACTAGGTGTTTATATAGCCGTTGGGGGTGTTACGATCTGTCGTTGGATTAGCGATTGTTTTGTTCCAATAGCTGCCTTATCGCTTACTACATTCTGCAGACGGACAAACGGACATACGACGTGCATACAAACTGACGCCCCAAATTAGCAGTCTTTATAATATGATGGAGGCATATACGTACCTAATATTTCCCTATTTATTTATTTTGATTTGTTTTATGTATTCACTGATGAAGTAAGGATTGATTTATACACGGCCTATTAGTAAAGCGCTTTACCGAAACAACGTCAGGTATTACGGTCCTTACGTTAACTACTACAAGTCGAGATAACCATATCGGCAAGAGTGATAGTGATAATTGCACATACAAAGATATACCATTGCACATGTCGACTTCTTATCGGCCAGGTTTGGGGGGCTGCCACACAATGTGACGTCATGAGATATTTTATGTATTAGTACCACTGCAATTCCAAAGAAGGCACAATTAATCCATTGATGAAACTTCCTGGAAACATGAGCCATAAACTAACCATTGTTGATGATGCACCACTACCATTTCAATTGGCACGACTATGGTGGTACGGTGTCGAAAATCAACTTCAAAGAAAACAAAATTTATCAGGTGATCATCGTTTGAGAGTTTCAAAAATGCGTATTCCAATTCAAGCAAGTACAAAGGGTGTGGTTTCCAGGCATTCAATTATGATCGTTCAGACTTGATAATAAAAATACTCATGGTCATTGGGAGGTCACGCTTCTCTGAAAATTCGATTCTTATTCGTTTTTACTGTGATGAAGTGATGTCTTCTTTATATACTGGCGTAATACTTGAAGCGCAGGTGCCACCACGCAGAAGGACGTGCTCCTCCGATCCGCCAAATTGTCTGGCCAGCAAAAATTCGGTTTCGTGGGCAATACGGGAGTGCAGGGTTAGCCTCTTTGCATCCCACGTCGCTACTCGCTACATTGTTTAAACTGTGAGAATGATTGAAGTTTGAATTCCAGTTATGATGAGCAAAGAAACAATGATGGGTGAGCACGAACGGGTGGAAGGTGCCAAAAATCATGGTCTAAAGGTGGTGCGGTAAGCAGTCCATATTCTTTCGCCGTACTGATTAGGCGAGTTACGGAATGGCGACGCCCCCCGCCCCGCCCACCCCCCCCCCCCCCCCCCTGGCGGCCGGCCACTTTATAAAGTCAGTCAGTGAACAAATTATTTTCGAACAAGTATTTCTTAGTATCACAGAATGCTGAGTTGTTAAAGGAAAAAAACGTTCGCCCTAGCCGGGAGTCTGCGTGTTAACTGCAGCACAATTGTGCCGGAAGGCCAAAGGAGATTCCGGGTACGAATCCCGACTGGGCAACTTTTGCCCACGACTCAGCACCTTGTGTAACTTCGGAGTGAGCTGCGGCGTGATAACAGCCAGTTCTTCAATATTTCCAGTGATATATTTTGCAGAAGTTCTATGTCGGATTACTTGGAAACAGCTATCCACGAGTCTTCTATGTAGGGTTCCGGCCACCGCCACGTCAAATCGTAGACCCGCCTACAGACGGCGAATAAGGACTGCTAAGATTTCTTCTCAAAACTTCTCATATGCCACTCCTTTGATCTTCTGAAAACCACTTCATTCAGAATTGTAGAAAATAATGCGGGGAGCGAACCTTTTCCGGCTCTTTTGGCAGGGTATGTAGTCCTGCGATCAAAACAGCTTGGCTGATGATCCTAGGAAGCGCCTACCCGAACACTCGGAAATGGTTGTAGAGAAGCCAACCGCAACGAGATGAGGTCGCCAAGAAGAGTGAGCGATGGATGGAGACGCCCGAGCGGTCAGCAAACGTCATTCCCCCACTATGCCTACAGAAGTACGGAAACGTTGTTCAACGCCGTCAGCTTAGACAAATACGGCCAACGTAAAAAAAGAAACTAGCGAATTTTGTTACACATTGGCTATTATGACTGTGATCATCTCAATGGAATCTTCAAATGGCCTTGTGCTAAGGATATTTCAAAAACATTGCAAAACCCCTGAAAATGTATCAAAAGAGGTCATCCAAATGTTTTTAAGCCACCTCGCGATAGTGCGTTGGTTTCCACCTCTTTGTGGCACTGTAACAGTACTCTAGTCGTGCATAAGGAAGAAAAAACAAATTTCTTTCTTTCAGGTAGACAAATAAGGGAAGGTAACACAACATAATGTTCTTTTTTCACGTGAATGCATAGTTTTGGCGAAGCAAGCGCCGAAAAATTACAGGATAACACTTGAATTCGTTGAGTTCTCCGATTCTATTATGGTTGGCAAGAAAGTCCTTCGACAAAAATTTTAAAATGTGACAACCTTGCTTGAAAAATGGGTACGCGTCAGTCCGGGTGATAACATGTAAGAGCATCTTCAAAGCAATCATTACAAGGGTATATAAGGAATTGCGCAGGAAATTCCGGTACTTTAGCAGCATGATTTCTCAGTATCAACTCCGCACCATTATCTTCTACGAGTGGCGCTAAAGGAAAGCAGCGAGTTCAGCGGCTGACATAATCAACACCACATTTGGTGAAGGCACTGTTCATAGCTCAACGGTTAGCAACTGGTACAAGCGCTTCGCTGCAGGAGATACCTGCTTTGAAGATGACGAGCGCAGTGGACGACCACGAACCATTGATGATGATGATGAACTGCTACGTGCTGTCACAGCGAACTCGGAAGCCACTACGCGTGAGTTAGCCGTGACACTTGGATGCTCCCATGCCACCATCGAGAACTTCCAAAGGCATTGTTATCGAAAAGTGCTGTCAAGATGGATCCCCCACCGACTGACCGACGCCCAGAAGCAGGTGCGTGTCAACATCTGTGAATCACTCCTTTTTCAGCCGAATCGTAGGGACTTTCTTGCGGATGGTAACTGGTGACGAAAGTTGGATAATGTACGATCACAACAAACGGACTGCCGTTTGGCTCCCTCGCGGCGCTGAGCCACCGACTCAGCGCCGCGAGGGAGCCAAACGGCAAAGCCGAACACTCGCCAGCGCAAACATCTTCTCTCAGTATGGTGGGATATGAAAGGACCGGTCTACTACGAGCTACTGCACGCAGGCAAGACTGTCACAGCTGCTGTCTACATCGATCAGCTCCACATCCGGCCGATGCTCTTCGTGAAAAACGCCCAAGACGAACGACAGTGTACCTGCAGCACGGCAACGCGCGTCCACACGTAGCGTCGGAGACTCGTAGAAAAATTGCTGAACTTGGCTGGCACCCGATTGCTCACCCGCCGTACTCCCCGGACCTTGCGCCCTCCGATTACCACTTGTTCCGGCCACTTAAGCACCACCTGCGAGGAAGAGAGTTCAAAACTTACGATGATCTGAAAATGGCAGTGAATGACTTTTTTGAGTCACAGTCTCCTGACTTCTGGGCAAAAGGCATCAGTGACTTACCCAAAAGATGGGAGAAGGTAATTGATATTTGTGGAGAATATATCGTTGATGATGTGAAAGTGTTTTGACAAATTCGTAGTTATATAAATAAAGTAGTTTTTCTGTCGAAGAACTTTTTTGCCCACCTAATACATGGCATTTTCTCGCTGAAAAAAATTAGGCCGTTCATACTTAATGAACATTCGCCATGGAGCTAGGAATAGGAACAGCCTACACAGCTGCACTTTCTTCTTGAGCTGGAGTTATACGGCAGTCTCCTGAAGCCCTAATTTGGCGCACGATGCTGAGAAAGACATACTCGCAAGGCTGGCACCGGGAGTTGCCATCTCCTTAATAGTTTCGGTTATGAGGATTGCGAATATCGTGCAGAGTGCACAAATAATTTTGGATGGAAATTTGCCCATTCCTACACATTGGGCTGATTCCACGAGATACATGGTTGCCCCTTAATTTCTGCCCGAATTGACTTTCTTGATTTTACTCACAGTTTTACCAGTTTGCTTACGCGCCGCTAACTTCGCCATAGCCCGGCAGACTTTGCGAAACTGAGGACCCAGGAAATATCGTCATGAGATACTCCATTAAGATTTCTCACTACTGACTAATGTTAACCTCCACAGTTTCACTAAAGCTCATCGAGAATACGCGTGAAACGTCTGAGCGAACTTGGTATCATTGATTCGCACACTCTGTAAAAATCCTAGCATTATGCTTGAAATAAGATAATAAGCGTGAATAAATTTTCCTGTCGCATCTCAAATAATGAATCTGAAATATGCCTCCTTAATAAGTGAGGACGAGGCTTATCATCCATTACAATCACGATATTAGAAGTCCCGAAGGAATGCGGTTTTAGATTTGGTTTCTGATAGTGTGTCAGAATGAAGCTATCCATTTGCCTGAAGTTTAGATTTATGGCATTCGAATCTCTATCATATAAAGCGCACAATTGGGGCAAAGTAACGCTCCCATGTGTCCCCACGCTGCGTAAGAATCGACAACTGCGGCGTTCTGGCGTCGCCTTTCGGCCCTTATCACTCGTAATCAGTTTCTGGCACCCGACCACAACAAATGTCCCGTCCCACCTCCATCACAACACTTGAAATTATGGTTCCTGGTGTCAACTGCGTAGCCAGGCAACGTAATCGACGACTCAGCGTTCTGGGCGTCACCCTTATCGCCCTACTCAATCGTTATCAGTTCTGCACCCACCAACTAATGCCCCGTCCACCTCACACAACACTTACAATCTGGTTGCTCTGGTGTCAACGCGGCAGCAGGCACCGAATGAAGACTTCAAGCGTCTGGCGCGCCTATCGCCCTATCAAATCGTATCCAGTTCGGCACCCCGCCCACAATGTCCCCGTCCCCCACACAACCACTGTAAATATGGATTCTCTGGGTCAACGCCGCGAGCTCCCGTTAACCTGGAATCGCACGGCTTTGCGTTCTAGAGCATCTATCAGCCATTACGGTTCTATCGCTTCCAATCATGTACCACCAATTCCGGGACCGAGCCCCACAATAACACTTGTCTAGATAGACCTCTTACCGAATATGAATCGGAACAACGAAATTGGCGATATCCGCGCTTTCTAGCTTCCTCTTCTGCACTATCTATCAGATCGTTATCATTCCTAATCACGTACCACTTGTTGTCCGCATTCCACCCCACTATAACATCTGAAACCACTGTCCTATCGTTACTTGTACCGCTGAGCTATGATTTTCCGTTCAAAACATACACAACACACACACACCAACAGACACCCGACTAGCCGCTCATCCATATAGTAGTACGTCCTCGAAAACTACTCAAAAAAATGTAATCATTTATCATACCCCATTGATGATGGCATTCGTTTCCCAAGAAACTCCTGATGGTCTCCTCTTACATCACTAGAGAGAAACCAGAAGTATATTTGAATTGGCTAGATCGTCTTGTCTGTTGTATCCCATTATTCTTATCTCTTGTCGCTCACTGCTTCAAGCAAGCTGCAAGGGATACTAATGGAGTAAGTCACGGCTCTACGAGGATTTTGGTATCGCCCCAGTCTCCCCAAAAATGATGAGTTATCATTGCATATGATCAGGCGCCTATTTTGGAGAACAAGTATCCAGAATTGAGGACTGCTTTACCCGCGTGGTGGCTTCCAACCTCGAAAAGAGTCCAATCGTGGTCGAAGCGAACATCAAATTCTAAATTACGCGCATCTCCTCAAAAACCACAAATTAGTCATGAAAAAATCAGCCAGCTGTGTGTGCTTTGATCTGGTACTGACGATTCACTCGTGCAAGCTAAATGCTTCCGCGCCCAAGCCGCCGCAGCAGGATATCGCGGCGAATTTGCGAAGACTCAGCATCCAAGCATTGGGAATTGCCGATTAGAATCAGTTTCCCTTCATAAAACATCGACTAGCAACTCACCTAAAGCTTAAAATGACAGCTCGTTTCCGCACGCCCGTTATTACCTACTTATCATACCTATCTTATGTGGAAGCTTCCCTCACCTTTTACTCTGTGTGTATATCGTAATATGCTTTCCGGTTGACCAGATAATCACTCTCGAAGAATTCAGCGAAATGATTAATAAAGAAGTCAAATAATATCCAACAAGGCAACCTTTACCACGGTTACAAGGTGTCTGTCGACCTTAAAATCACCTGCAAGGGATCTACAGTGACGCTTAGCTGGCTTACTGATTCCATCACTTCTGTGTATCATCCCCTCTACAACTATGTCATGGATGCTAAGTAAGAAAAGTCCAAGCACAGAAATCTGCCGACCCCCCTGCATCACCGACGATTTCGCCGCTTAAGCGGCGTGACCTCCATTACCCTGCGACATTGAACAGTCCGTCGCCTCCTTGTCTTAGGCATGACCTTCTTGGAGTCAACGATTTAATCTCCCCCCCTCCTTAACCACCCGCTCATTACACAGCAGCACCACGTAAAATGACGCTAACATGAGACTGACGTAGGAGGTCGTTCCAGGCGGGAGCGCTTTTGAAAACGTTTTTTGCATGAAATAGGGGCATGGGCAGACAATTATGTCCATTTCGCTAAATGGCCTTCTAAATGCTCTAAAAATGAGTGAAAATCATTTGTTGAAACTCGGTTATTACTTGTTAAAATGGTGGTTTCTTCCGTCAACATAGGAAAGCTAAAACCTAAGCGTCCCTACTTACACATCTATTGTAGTGGACTGCACAGTGTGTCATTGCTATAACCATCATTACTTCATAGCATCGATTGCATAAACTCAATCAATCTTCAAGCAAATATAACTTGCACTTCATCAAGAAAGCCCAGAACCATTTAGCCGCTAATCCTGATCGGGTCTCATAATGGTGTAAATAAATTATTAGCCTATACTCCCACTTCTACTCGGATCCCGAATTGGGTGCGCGTGTCACAGGAAGTGACCGTGTACTTGATAAATCACGTGGATAAGGTGCTTCCCATATATATCGCCGAGAATATCAGCACAAGCATGCTCGCAGCGACTGCACCATACGCAACCTCCACAAGTCCACGTCACTTCCGGTGACACGCCCTACCCACTTACGGCATCTCGACTGTATGTAAATGCATATTTCAATTCATTCGAGACGCAACAAATCTATCGCTAAAAGTTATCTGATTCAAGAAGAAAGCTGGATTCACAGTTGTATAATTATCATTTCAGCTTCAGACTTTATCACGCGTCTTTTCGATGGACCCTTCAGCGACAACTGGGAAAGGTCTAACACATTCAATAGTGAGGTGGGTAATGAGGGACCTCATGCTGATATTCCATGGGTCCTCGAATTTCGCTAAAGCCTGCCGTGTGATGCGCGCGATAGCGTGCGGAGCAAAACTGAAATTCTTATATTTGTTTTTTGACTGCTGTTTTTGACTGCAGTTTGCCTTGCGAATATTCCACCTGGGGCGGAAGTTTTGTTCACAACCCAGCATTCTTGTGAAACTATTCTTATATTTGCAAACTGTGCAAACCCTCTAACATGTAAGAAGCACTTTCTTAGGGCCGCGGCATTCAAATCACCCGGTGAGAACAGCTAGATAAGTACATGCAGCCTAAAAACATGGCAAATCTAGGGTTACAAATACGAAAGCGAGTTATAAGCAAGTTATTCACATCTTTGTGTCGCAGACATTCCTGATTTCGCCTCGAACATTTGAAAAACACAGCGTTGGCCGTCATGCCAACAGTTTCATTTTCATCGTGGAGCCCTTTAGGATTAAAGCTGTGTTGAAATATACAGAGCAAAATTGCAAGACTTGAAAATCTTCAAGACTATCTACTGCCCTGGTTGATTACTGCTCCTCATTCTCCTGAGAATAGCGGCTCTTTACAACTTCTATGTTTATTATAACTGAGCCTCCTAGATGGTTGTACCGTGGATGAAACGCGAGCGCACATCGCGCCGCTCCCAAACCAATGTGTGCGGTTGATTTCGGGCTTCGTTGGGATGGGGAGGCTAGCGGATATTGCGTAATTATATAAGAAGGCTCACTCTACAACAGAAATGCGGCAACGAAGTCCGAGTATCCTTTGACCCATCGTGTATTATGAATTCCTACAAGGTCATTCTGCAAGAGAAGCCGTTAATAGTGCGCTGCATTCAAGAAAGATATGGTACGCCATTCCACCGTTGTTCGCCGCTTTGTGTCCGACTATATTTCTATCAAAGGGCAGGAACGTCCTGGACGCCCATTAACCCTCAAGATGATGATACGCAGCGCTTTGATCTCAAACCCGAACATAACCGCTCGGGTTTTGGCAACGGCACTCAGATGCAGCAAAGCAACCGTCAGCAATCGCCTTGCCTCTCTTCGTTTCCGCAAAATTGTTTGCAGATAGGTGTCTTGCGAATTCCGTGAAACGGACCGGGCCGTCGTGTCAGAATTTCTGAGCCATTGCTTCTTCGTCCGCACAGGAAGGATTTGTTGGGTGGGATAGCGACAGGAGACGAAAGCTGGGTCTGCACTAAATGATACCCGCAATAGAGTGTGCTTGTCTAAGTGCTAACTGAGACCAAAGCAATCGAACGTGGTTCGCAGGAGAAGAAGGTTCTCCTATGTTGTTAGTGGAATTCACTCCATCGCCAACCTCCCCCGCAGACGGTTGGTTTTCTGCCAACGATGACTTCGCCGTCAAACCCAGCCGGCAGTAGCTTCCCGTGCAAGAACCTTATACGAAGATAGCCACCGTCAATGACCGAGGCATATGTTCTCAGCACGATTTTCGCGGATTTTGAAGCCAATGTCAAGAACGTGAAGTTTTCTGTACTTGGACTGGCTGAAACTCGAAGACCGAACCGTGAGTGCACTCATCTAGGATCTGGTTTTGTCTTTATAACAGTGGACGAAGCGACAATGTCCCGACGTATGCTGGTGTAGGGCTGTATATGCCCTTACAGATAAACAAAAGGCTAGTTGGCATCCGGTACATCAGCGAACGTGTGATCCAAGCCGAACGTCTCAGCATCATTCAAGTACACGCCCCGACTTCTGCGGCACCAGACGATGAGTTCGAACAATTCTTGGATGAAGTAGAAGCTGAGGCTAGCGACGAGAACTACAGCAGAGCTCATTTGTGGAGTTTTCAATGCAATTATTGGACGTTCAAGAAACAAGGAGTCTACGTGTGAGCCTTTTGGAATGGGTGACCGAAATGACCGAGGTGTCGCTTTACTTTCATTCTGGGCTGCACATGATCTAATTGTGGCCAACACGTATTTCAAGAAAAGATTCGGACGAAAGAGGACATAGAGAAGTCCAAACGGGAACACTCGCAATGAAATAGACCACGTTTTGTGCAAGAATCTGAAGTAGAATCTGACGTTTCAACACTTTCTGGATGCGATATTGGGAGTGACCACCGCATGGTGCGAATAACTCTGGCGATGTGCATGAAGCCTGCCTATTTCAAGCAGAAGTCAGGACCATTACCTCCACTTTTCGACAAGCTTAAGCTGTAGGCTGCAATTGCTGCATGCCTCGTCCAGCGGGCGGCTTCGACATCCCCAGCTTCGTGGAGGCAGCGAATAATTGTATGGCTTTAGCACAAATACCACAACAACGAATGGAACGAATCTTTGCTAGAACAATGGTGCTAATGGCAGAAAGAAGAAAGAAAAAGTTTGGATTCGCAAATGGATCAATAAGCTTTGTTATGTTATGTTATCTACTCATTGTTGTGCAAACAAGTTAGATGGTCACTTACCGACGATCTTCGCAAGTACAGCGACCGGGTCATGCAAAATGCAATAGACAAATTGAAGACAAGGCGTGCTCGACACGAATTAGCGTATGAACGTCGACAAATAACCTAACTCCGGTGCCCTGATGTTGCCCTGACAACAAATTTACAAGAAGCTGCGGCCATTACAGCTGCATTCAACAACAACCTCTACTGAGCCCATAGTGGTCCATACGTCTTCTCTGCAACAGGCCCGTTGAGAAGCCCGGTAACAGCAAACGAACTCTGTGAAGCATGTAGCAGAATTCGTGGAAACACTGCACCTGGTGCCGACGGAATACCATCTGAAGTAACGAAGTATCTAGTACCTCTATGTGCAGAAGACCTTGCTAAAGAAATAAATCAACATTTCGAGCTCAACCAGTTCCCTGAAAATTTCGTTCGAGCCAAAATCATCCTCCTATACAAGAGAGGTGATCCATTGAACATCAGCAACTACAGACCAATCTCCCTATTGTCAACTGTCCTTAAAGTTTTTACCCGTGCGCTGGCTCGTCGTATGAAAGAAGCTGTAATGGAGTTCGTTCCACAAGAACAATCTGGGTTCAGACGTAGCTTCTTCACCCGTGACCACATCATGTGCGTCAACTTACTAGTTGAGAAATGTCGTGAGTGGAAGAAACCGCTTCACATGGCCTTCATTGACTACCAAAAAGCTTTCGATGCAATCGAGTACGAAGCTGTTTGGGTAGCTTTGGATAAGTTCAAAGTAGATGACTGCACAGTTCAAATGATAAAACAGCTGTACGCTGGGACAATCGTTTTTGGCTCTGGACTCGATAGAGATGGAGATCGACATCCAACGAGGTGCAGACAAGGCGATTCATTGTCTCCTCTGTTGTTCATTTTGACTCTGCAGTCGTGTCTTGATGACATTGACTGGGATGGCCAGGGTCACCCCATTAAGCAGTAGCACCTCAGCTATATCGCCTACGCTGATGATCTTTTCCTGTGTTCGCCAACGGTCGATGGACTACAAAGCATGCTCAATAAACCCATTGATGCTACCAAAGTGGCTGGACTCGAAGTGAATACAAGCTAAACAAAGTGGATGTCCAGCAACCCTAATGGACAGCATCTCAGAGCCAGTGGATGAGAAATTTAGCTGTTATCTTCCTTCGTTATTTGGGCCAACTCATATGTTTCCCTCAGGATCGTGGACAAGAAATCAGCCAGAGAATCAGACGGAAACAGAAGAGTTCGAGCCCTATCGAAAAGCAGAATGACGCCACTGGTGACCAAACGACGCTTCTTCCACACATGTGTGACGCCAATTCTACTGTATAGATGTGAAACGTGGGCTCTAACAAAAGCAGCAGAGGATCGTATAAGAAAATGCTAACGACGAATGGAACGCCAAATGTTAGACCTCCGACTTCGCGATAAAGTATCGAGAGTAGCAATACGAGCAAGGACCAAACTGGAAGAAGCTGTCATCGAAGCCAGAAAGCGCAAGTGGATTTGCGCAAATATGTTAATGACAAGAGACAGGACGCGATGGGAAGTGCGGCTGATGCATTGGAAGCCCTGTGCAAGCAGATCAGTTGAACGACCACGAGTGCGGTGGGAAGACGATTTCAAGATGTTCGCGGGAGCAGACTGGCAGAACACGGTGACGACTTCTGAATGGTTCCAAATCATGGCCCGATTCTCTGTTTATGTCAGATGAATAACGGAAACAAATGTAAATAAAATGCGAAATGTAAATGTTAGTGGAATTGTGATGGTATGCGCTACTACAAATTTCTGGAAAGTGGCACTACTGTGAGAGTGAACATGTACTCCAATCAACTGCAGAAGGTGACCGATACAATCCTTCACAACTATCCAAAACAACTTCAAAACTATCTTCTGCACGACAACTCTCCCTCAAGTGGCAACAGAAGCTAGGCTGGGGAGCACTAGCTCATCCACCGTACTCTCCTGACTTAGCCCCTTTCGACTGCCACTTGTTCCGAGCCTTGAAGAGGCATCTGCGAGATAAGCGACTCGATAATCAGGAGTAACTCAAAGTAGAGGAGGGCAGCTTATTCAGCACAATGCGCGGTTTTCTGGAGAAGTGAGTCCAACAAACTACCAGTGAAATGGGTGTAGGTCATCGGTAATGACAGCGAATATATCACTGATTGAGTTGTCTTTTATTGTTTAAAAAACGATGTCAAAATTGTGTTGTTAGTGTCGCATTCTTTTCCGGACAACCCAGTACAACGGCTGCAAAGAACGAGAAGCAACATTCGGCGGCAGAAAAGGGCAGCACAGCAAGAAGCGTGCAATCCAGGGATCCAATTGCAAACCTCAAAAAAGTGTCAAAAAGGTGTAAAAAGAAAATCAATTTATGCTCACGAGAGATACAATTAGTGCTAGCATAGATTAACAGGATAAGTGAAACAAGGGTTACGGAAGCCTGCGACAGCCGTAGTGATGAATAGCGGCCAACAACTCTTCGCAAGGAGAAATAATTTTATACAGAATTAAAGAGCTTTGGGAGCAAATATTAAGTGTGATTTCCGGAACGAGATTTGAAATGACTAATTTCTGAAATTACTTGCCCAGTTTCGGTGGAATTTGTTCACAATATTTATTCATTTACATTTTCATGTACACCGAGTGAGACCATGTACATTTTGTACAAGATTTCACTTCATCTCATTTATTGACGCAGACAGAGTCCACGTGGGTATGGCAACTCAAGCAAGAAAAACATACGTCAACATAGTAAGCGCCGTGTAGTTAGTAAACGTAAAAATAAACGAATGAAAGTGAAGAAACACACGAATATATATGAAAAATTATAAAAGCATACAACTAGCGAGCAGAAAAATAGCGGCGCAGACATGGGAGCAATGGTGACAACAATCAGGTACAGAAAATGGAGGAATTCCTCTGCGCATTGATTGTCTGATGCTAAGCTTATGAAACTGAATCGTGAAAAATGCCATGAATCCTCTGTATTAGTTTTATTAAAGAAGAGCTACCACTCTCGATTTGGAGGAGTATTGTTGGCTCGCATTGAGTTCTAACTGCCGGGGCACCGACCGGACTTATTCAAGCACAGCCGAGCGTTCGTAGATGATTACAGAATTAAAAAGTCATCCAAGGTTGCGTAAGCCTTATTGGTAAGGATTTTGAATGCCATGAAAAGGTCGTGTAATCTTTTTCTTCGGTTACGAGCAACTAGGATTGAAAGTAATACGACCGTCGCCACAGTGTTGTAATAAACTGAGAGCTCAGGCAGTGCTGCAGGTAGTCCAACTTGTTCGGCGGTGAACTGCTGTGAACGTTTCAAGGAGTATATCCCTCTGGTAGGATCCTGATACCAGATTAGATCACGACCAATACGAAAAGACAGTATCTTAATCAGTGGAGAAACGCGATTTAGCCAAGCGGCTATTTTAAAAAAAAAGCGCAAAAATGTATCAGAGACCAACTGACTTACAAGTGGTTACGAACATAAAATTGAAAGTCATCACGATAACATTGGTGGGCGGTGATCGCTTAAATATGCGGCTGATTTACCTTTTTGAATTGAACAAAAGTTCCGGGCAAGTGGTACCTCTTTGACAAATATTTCGCCATTCGAGAGTCCTCAAACAAAGAATGTATACAGGGTGGGCAAAATCACGGCACAAGAGTTGCTGCTGTCATTTTCCATTTTGACACCAGGGATTTTTTGATGTCATCTATGCATTTGTTTTTGATAGTCAGTGTTTTTTCTTAATTGGTCGTCATCATAAAATATATCACTCGGGGTATGGACGTTAGTTAACTCCTTTGTAGAACAATCACTACTTGCTTCCGACGAACTGATCGATTGTGTTGCACTGCATGAGGGTTTAGAAGCTCCGTGAAACTTTCATCGGCCACCATTACGAAGCTCAAGCTACTTACCAGAGCCAATAGGCCTGGAACTCAAAGGATTGTTTCTGCGACTTCACTAGTAATATCTCGAAGATACGTGCGAAGAAGCGCTGGAAGCTAGCTGTTTCATTCCGTCGTTTTGTCGTTGAAACTGCTACCTAGCGCACTTCCTTGCAACGATTTGTTCACACACGTCTTTAAAAAAGGATTACAATCATGAAAATGGTTAACATCCAACCGACTCGGGAAAAGTGAGTAAAAAGCAAAGTCACTGTACGGATTCCGTTATGAGTTTATTTATCGCTCGCTTCCCTTAGTGGGAAGATTGTCTGCTGCTTGGCCACTCTGGAATGAAAAGGACAACTAGACCAATGTTAGTGAAATGCCATTCAGTCACTCAGTGATGGCTTTCGCAGAAATCACAAGCGCAGAAATCACGATTCGAAGGCACATCGGACATCTGCTGCTCAAGATAGAGAACTGGACAGTAAAAATCATTTCGAACTCCTTCTACCTCGACTGAGGCTTCATACCGAAAGGACCTCAAATGGGAAACACAGGGCATCAGAGCAATATCGGGCACCCATTCACAATGCAGAAATTGCCCCAAAATCGACGCAACCCGATTGTCTTGAAAATAATCATACTAAGCGGTGACATAGCGCTCCCAACGCTAGTCCTACCACAATTTCTGTATTGAGTGTGCCAAAGGCAAGGTATATCTCAACGCAGGAAGCAATCACTTCAAAGGGTAATGTTGCTCTCTGTTTGATAATCTTCCTCCAACATGATTGTGATTTTAATTTGAGACTTCTCGACCACATTGCTTTTTTATTACCTTTTTACTTTGTTACCGTAATTTTTGCCCACCTTGTAGTTCTGACGTTAGACCTTGACCTAGTAATAGATAATTTAAATTTTTCACCTTGTGTGCTTGACGGACAAAGTGCGACAGCGCCCCGCAAATCAACCGTCGATCTTCCCGTGAAAATATTGAATACCGTTATAAAGTCCAATTTCTTTCTACAAAGAAGATGGTCTATTACCAACATTTTATTATCTTTAACATTTTATTAACATCTTATTCCTAACGAGACCTTTGGGACAGCATTGTATCTGAAACTCAGCAACCGTTAGAAACCTCCTCGTGAAGCTCTTCGGGCAGCTTCCATTGTAGAAATATTTCTATTGTGAGGAAAGAGCGCTGGAGATCTATACTCCAAAAGTAGCCGAAATATGTTTATAGGCACTAATGAGGAAGCATGGGTTTGGAAAAGCCTCTTCTCTGTTTTTTAGCCACTTCTCACAATGGAAATTGAATGACAATTTATGATCAATAACAGAGCTCACAAGTCCTTCACTTCTTAACAACCATCAATGGAACAACTAAAGTTGTGAGTGCTTCCTAGATACTGCTTTTTAGTCACACGACAAAGGCATCCCTGTAGGTCACACCTCTTAACGACAGCGTTAATAGCATCCTGTACTACCATTTCTCTTGGATGTCTTGATATTGGTGTCATCGGCAGTGACTTTGCAGACCACCACAGTTCCCTCCACAGTCCTGAGCAGTTATAGGATAAAGCATTTGCCGTTGATCAATCCCTTTTCAGGGATCGGCACGCATTCTACTTCCATTCGTACATTCGCAGTGGAGTTTGAATGCGATGTGGCCTATACAATGACTTGTAAGGGCCAGTCGATGTACAAGTCAGTGCTCTTATCCTAACAGACAAGTCTGGTACCAATTGACCGACCCCGGAGGGTTGGAAGGCTTGATTGGCCCGGGCGACTCACGACCCAGGATTTGATCCACGGACCGCTCGCGTGGTGAGCGTGCCACTTTACACTACACTACTTCCGCCCCAATCCTTATCCCTATTCATTATTTATCCTTTATCCTGAGCAGTCAATCCGAATAAATGCCGAAAAATACCGGTGAAAGGACCCACCCTGCAGAACATCGCTAGGAGCAGCTCTGCTTCTTGAAATGCACCATCATTCGTATTCGAAATCTTCCCTGTCTGAGAAAACATTCAATCCACAGAACTAATCTTATGAACGCCAATGCCTAAGCTTCGTCAAGGGCTTAGTATAATTAAGTTTATTAAAAGACAGAAATCAAAGTAAACCACATATACACACCTCTTCTCATCTAAGACAACAGTCCCCATTAAGTGATCCGTGTATTTCGGTCACAGTTGAACTGCCTCTCCTAAAAACGTGTTGAGAATCGGGCAAAATCTTATGCTCTCCAAATGTTTAATTAGGGCTTGCTTTACGACTTTCTGAAAGACTGCAAAAACAGACGTAATACTAATCGGCCTGTAGTTGTCCGGGATGGAAAAAGGTTCCAGTGCAAGTCACACAGTTACAGTTTTCCTAGGAAGGAGGGAAAATGCATATGGACTTGGGTAGTGCATATGGACTTCCGCCGCTTGTAGTGGGTCGTATGGCAAATTTTTCTCCACGACTCGCTCGACTCTGGTTGCCACAGTGGCCAGCTGATTTATATTCGTTGATATCTGCTACTATTTGGATCTTCTGTTGCTTTGCTATTCCGTAGCACTACACTCAGCTTCAGAACAGGTTAATCAGTTTCAGTAAAAAAAGGATGTGGTTTTGCATGAGATTTGCATGAATTTTCGCAAATGTTGATATTGAAGCGTGGTTTTTGCATCTTCAGTAAATTTCTACACTTATGTTTTTTTTTGTTTTTGCATTGTATATAGTTTTCATAGCAGTATCATTCCTATGTTCTTTCCATTGTCAAGGGCAATCTTTGCGCCGCTTTGGAGCTTGCGTTCACGAATAACGCATTCTGCATAGTTTTGCTAGTATCGTGAAATTTGTTATTTTTTACTCATTATTTTACTTTTTTTCCGAGTTCTTCTTCATCACAGCACCCTTTATTTGTTTTTGTGCGGAACTCGATTTGATCTGTTCTGAAGCAACTCATCGCTTTTGGGCATGCAATTTCCCAGGTCGTGTTGCAGTTGTCATAATTACTTTGTATCTTGGGCAGTCCGTTC